GATTGTTGGGGGCAATATGCTGACTCTCTGTAAACCGCTTAGAGAGGCCTGAAAGGCCTATGAAGCGGTATATAAGTCTACTGCTATTGCTATTGCTACTGCTATTAACAGTTTTCATAAATGAAAGTTCAAGGAGTAGCAATAACACTAAGACTTATATACCGCTTTATAACCCTCTCTAAGGGAATGCTGGGGAAAAAAGGATTTATTATAAGTTGGGCAGAAAAATATTATTAATATAATATGTGTGGAAAGGCTCATGATAAAAAGCTCATTACCACAAGGGTCCTCACTCCCGATTCAGGGAACAGCTGCTAAATGGAGAAAGAATGAAATGGCTTCCGCTGCCTTTTAGAGAGCTCCTATCCAGTCAGAACAGGACCAATTCTTCTTCCTTCTTTCAAATGTACGTGTTTATACCCTTTCTGCATCGTGAAAAGTTCAGCAGCTGAACGAACGCTTTAGCATTTCCTTTATCCTTTCGGTTTTTGTCATTTCCATTTGATATAATTGATTTTAAGGCAATGGGCGATGCCTCGGAATGCAAACTTTTGTTATCTTCTTTGGCTTTGATTGATTTCTTCTGGAGGTGCTGATATTGTATGCCGTTCACGGATGGTTAGTAGCTAGCTTCTAATGCATTACTAACACTATTAAAAAAACCAGCCAAGTCCCTTCCAGGGAAAGCTCTTGCAAAGCAAACAGACACTCTCTCCTGGGATACACAAAAATATACAGAAATAAAAAATGTCTGTCCTCACATTCACAACACACAGCACTTAGTAAAAATCAACAGAAACTCTGCCTACCTTACGATACCATGTGTAAATATTTTATAATGGTTTTATGTACTTTTCAAAGTTGTGGATATCAGCAGATTTAAAAACAAACAAACAAAAGATTTAGATCTTTTGGATTCTGAATGAAGATTACCAAATGAATCCATTACAAATAAATAAAAGGAGTATGCATTCTTTAACTCTTCATTTGTAATGTCATAACATTGCATTTGATTTTTTTAAATTTTATTTTTGGGAAAAGGATGCAAAAGCTAATACATGGAAAAGCAGCACCCGTTCACAAAAGGAAGTTTTGAATAGACCTGTGGGAACTCAGGGGTTTCAGAATACAGGTGATCCTCAACTTACAGCCACAATTCAGCTCCAAATTTCTGCTACTAAGTGAGATATTTGTTAAATGAGTTTTTGCCCCATTTGATGATCTTTTTTTTTTTTTTTTTGCCACAGAGGTTAAGTGAATCGCTGTAGTTGTTAAATTAGAAACAAGGTTTGTTAAGTGAATCTGGCTTCCCCATTGACTTTGCTTGTCGGAAGGTTACAAAAGTTGATCGCATAACCCCAGGACATTGTAGTTGTCATAAATATGAGTCACTTACCAAGGGTCTGAATTTTTGATCAGGTGACGATGGGGATGCTGCGGTGGTTGTAAGTGTGAAAAATGGTCATACATTTTTTTCAATGCTGTTGTAACTTTGGCCACTGAACAAACTGTTGTAAGTTGAAAACTGCCTGTATGAAATAATTTTAGGAGAAAATTGCTCTTCACATAAAGTGTGTGTGTGTGTGTGTGTGTGTGTGTGTGTGTGTGTGTGTGTGTGTGTGTGTGTGTATGAATGATGTATGTTTGGAATACCCAACTCAGTGGTGGGTTCTGACAGTCACCACTGCCGGTTTGCTTATGAGTGCACCGCGCATGCACAGAAGCTAAAAACAAGATGGCAGTGCCGTAGGCGCTACCCAGAGAACCGGTTCAGGGGCGTGGCAGGCCTGGGTCACTGCCTGTTGAGGACTTGAAAAGTCCTTGAATTACGCCCTGCAGGCTGGCAACAGACCAGGCTGCGCCCTGATTGGCTAGGGCATAGCATCGCCTGTTGCTAGCCACTAGAGGCGCCCTGATTGGCTAGGGCGCAGCGTCATCACTTACCAGGCACCGGGAGCACGGCCATTGGTCCCCCTGCTTTGACAGCCTGTTTAAATAGATGTCAAGCGGGGGATACTTTTGAATCGCTGTACATTAGTTGTATTGAATAAACCTGAGTTCTTTGCAGTCCTGGCTCTTGTCTCTTCTCTTTCCTCGATCCACTAAACTGGCGACGAGGGTGGGATCACGACCCGATCCCCCCAAATCAAATATCCGCCATGGAGGGACACCAAACCACCACCTGTTCGACTCAACTGGTCTGAACCAGTAGGAACCCACCCCTGACCCCAATGCAATTTCATTTGATCCACTGGCAACACTCCTAGAATCAATCATATCAGCTTTAGTTTGAAAGGGTTGATTGGCTCAACACACATCAAGTCAGGGTTACTGACAACGCATGCAACATTATTAAGGGTGTAGAAGTAGAACAACATCTACAATTATGCTGTTTCTTTTACGTAACACTCAACCACATGGGGCACAGCTATACCAATTGCTGAATTTTTGAGTCTAATACCGAAGCAAGGGTTGTCAAAGTGTATTTCATCTCTCATTGCATAGACAGTAATTATGCAACGAATGTTACCTAAGGTCGCAGCGATCCCATCTCCGGCACTTTCCTCTTGAGAGAAATGTCGAAGAAGAGAAGGTGCGGTTTAAGCAGGCTGCGTTTAGAAGAGAATCTGACTCCAGGCTAAACTTCAGCTTGAGTAAATCAGCACACCAGCTAGTAGATATTACGGATAGTTTTGTCAAAAGAAAAATTGATTTGGCTTCCTCTGCTGCCTTACGAAATTGCTAGGTTATAGAAAAGAAATCATTATAGCATGGAGATAATTGAATGTTGAATGAAGTAAGTCAACTTATCTTAACTGAATAATCAGTTTCAATATTTTTAGCCTAATCTGTCTCAAGGCCTTATACTGTAGCCCAAATGACCGAATCTTTCTCATCCTAGTCAGTTAACTCAACTTAGGATTCTGGCATTGATTTATATTGTTGTTGTTGTTGCTGCTGCTGTTTCGTTGTTTAGGCATCAGAAAGGAGCCTGGGAGATTGCCACTTCCCAATTCTTGATTGTTTAACTTTTTCCATGCCTGATGTTATAATAACTTAAAATATGTTATTAAGTTCGGAATCTGTAGGGCTAGATAAGCTGGGCCTGCGTTCATTCCCAAAAGTGTCTGCTCCTCTTCACAAATAGCCATTTTGCTAGATAAGACTGAAAATCAAAACAAAGATATGAGGGTGAGATGGAAGATCTAGGGAAACTCTATCATTCTGAGACCTCTCTAGGACTTTGGTCTTTCTAATGGGGGGTCAAAAGGGATAATTAATGTTTGGTAAACACTGGGCATCCCATGGGAGGAGTTAGTTTTACTCAAACTAAGGTTATGTCTGCATAGATTAAATAGTCTAAATTTAATTGTGAGATTTAATTCAGTTTTGAAATTTGTCAAGCATGCTTGACTTTCCCTCTCAAAAGTGTATTGTATTAAAAGGACCATAGAGTTGTTATGAC